CCATGTGTATTGAAGAGTACTCTTTATTCAGATATCTCCAGCTATGTGCATTGAATAGTACTCTTTATGCAGATGTCATCAGCTATGTGCATTGAATAGTACTCTTTATGCAGATATCATCAGCTATGTGCATTGAATAGTACTCTTTATGCTGATATCATCAACCATGTGCATTGAATAGCACTCTTTATGCAGATATCGCCAGTTATGTGCAATGAATAGTACTATTTATGCAGATATCATCAAGCTATTTGCATTGAATATGTACGGAGGACATTGTGATTATTTCGAATTTGGCGACGGATTTTTACTATTGAAATAAAATTGTCACTTGTAGGGATAGATCGTTATTGGGTGAAGTGATTTTAAAAAACATAACAAGTTATTCATTCTCTTGCGTTCACCGCAACAACAACATATTACCTTTCAACACAGATCTCCGGTTACGTACAATGAATGGACTGTCGATTTGTTTCTGTCAGGAGAACTGTACGCATTGACCGACTGGATATTCCGATGACCAGAGGTTTGCATGATGTTTTGTTAAATATTTTGGTCGTCTAATTTTCAGACGAGATGTCCCGGCTTGCAATTGGTTTTCTGAATGACAGGTTAGGTTGGGTCACTATATTTTTCATGAGGAAATTAATTTTATTTATACCGATAGATTGTCGACCGAACCATTATTATTGGTGCTTTAAATTATAAAATTACATTTCAAGTGCAATGGTTAATAAATTATTAGCAAAGTGCGAAATATGTGGGAAGGTGAATATTGGTAGTTGTGATCCGTGGCAACAACATAATAGAAGTCATGCACAGGAACGCTTTTCATGGCGAGCTGCGAGCATGGGAGGTAAAATTGTCCCAATACAGCTCACTGTGACGTTACATAGCAGTCGAACGAAAACGACATATTTGTAATCAAAACTCAAATGATAATGTTATTGTACATTAAAAGTGTTATTAAAACAATACTTGTTTTTTCCATGATATTATATTAATTATTATTATTATTAGTAGTAGTAGTAGTAGTAGTAGTAGTAGTAGTAGTAGTAGTAGTAGTAGTAGTAGTAGTAGTAGTAGTAGTAGTAGTTTATTTTTAAGTATGATGAAAGAAAAATAGCACACCTGTAAAACAGCAGGACACACTTACAAACAATAATAACGTCTTATGGTATGATACATGATTATCCACTAAATAATTCATATTACGGGTTCCCATTTTATACATCCCATAATGTTTCATATTTAATTTTTACCGCAATTATGAAGTCTATAGTTTTCAGTAACTTTAATAGGTGTAGTGAGATTTAACCCCGGAAAGAATATATAAAAATTGGAATAACCTGAACCCCGATACATGATTTTGAAAGATTAATTGGCGATTGTCAATAAGGGGTTAAACTAATTAAAAAATAGGAAGATCCTTAACCTGAGCATGAACTTGATGGGAAGCAAATGTTGAATTACAATTGCAAATATTATGAAACTTCGAAGTCTCCATCTGTCTCATTGAGTTGTTCATACGACATGGTACAAGTATTGCCTCGCTCTCAATATTTGTTGGATGATTTGATTTTGATGATTGGTGTGGAATTGAACAAAAGTAGATAAAGCGGTTGATAGACCTAGCGTTTCTAGTCATGAATCTGTGGAAAAGCATAAGACGAAACAGAATCTGTCGCTGATTGGCTGGGAATTTACAAGGAAAAATGGCGTCTTTAAACACAAAAAAGTGTTATTCTTTAAAGCTACAAGTAAAGCTGTCGCAACTAATTGGTGTAACCACATTTAACATATATGCAATAAACAGATACAATACTGCTCCTTGAGAATATATGTTTAACAAAACAAAAAGATTTATTTGGTTTTACGATAGAAATACAAGGTTATATGAACTTGCTATGTTATCAAAGTAAACATCTGAGGTCAGCAACGCTCGGGTTTATAAAAGATTGTCAAAAAACAATGGCAATTTTTGTCTAGAATTTAATAAATGTATTTCATGAAACAAAATATGACATTGAACACTTCCAATTGAACAACTATCAATTAGCTGAAAATGATTAATGACACAATAAACAGGCGACTATTTTAAAGAACTTACACATAAGGTACAAATACAAAAGCACGGAAAAACACTTTGTGTCTCCTGAGGATCTCATGGGAAACACGGTTAGTATATTTAACGATAACTACATTCCCGATAATTACGACTGGGTGGTGGAAATCGACGACAGTGAGTATACTGCGGTATATTTCTGAAATGAACAATATTCAGAAACATTAAAATATTGTTATTATTCACATACTAGTATTCAGGGTCAAAGTAAAGTGCTTTACACCTATTTTTTAAATAGTTAAATCGGTTTAATGTTTAGAAATACCTTTTCAGACCTTATATCCTATTATTAACATATAACAAAGGGCCACTGTGTGCATTCCACTTACTGTATTATATTACTCGAAGACTCGTATTCGTGTCAGTACTATTACATTGAGGAATGAGTGTTAGAATATATAATATTCCCTGTCGATATAATTAATTTATCTATATAATATAGAATACAATTTGTTTTCTAATCTCAATAATATATAATTATACAATAATAATATTAATAATGTAAAATATAACAGTTAGGTTACTGATGTCGCATCACTGAACCACTCTTACAGAAACTTCGTCAGGGTGCAGGCGGAAGTTACCGCAAGTAATCTTTAGCTTGTGTGATTGACGAGATCCATGAGCCTACATTGTTGCGAATTGTGTAATTCACAAGCCATTCACGTGACTGAAAACGAAACACAATCTCTCAGCCAGTTACTGTGTTCGCCTATATCTAGACTTTAAGATGATGTATATTTTACAGTTGCATGCTTTAATAACTTTTAGACAATGTCAGAAACACAGATTAACTCGTTTTCGATGCTGGCAACTTAAATTTCTAGTGGGGAAAGTTATTGTGTGTTCGACATTTAAACTTTGTTTTAGGATTAGGTGTGTTGCTAACGCCTATGTTGAAGTCTCCCCAACACTTTGCAAATGCATATTTGCTTCTATAATTTCATGTGTTTTGATCTTGCACCGGATTAGATCGACGCTATTTCTCTTCATCAAGCAGCCAGTACGTCGTCACTAAACCTTTACCCTGCAATACAAGCAGATATCCCACACCAGATTGAAAAATAATTGCGGAAAACAACAAATAACACTGCACACGTTAAAGCAAAATACATATACATGTTCGCTTACACGCTCCTGACACCCATGTGTTAGCATTGTTTAGAATTGATATTAAAGTAGATGGATACCTTAATGACGTCATCTCGGCGCGTCCGAGTCGTTCTTTTCATTATTGAAATTAACTTTGATAGGGCCGAAAAACACAACATTCTGGTGGGTTACGCGTTTCTATGCCAATATAGGATCGATTTCACAATTAGCGACGCCCATTGCCACATTGTTTGCATCAGTATTAATGTATACTTACTTTCATTGCAACCTCCCCTCGAAGTTCTGTTATAAATCCACCAACAGTCATTAAGATATTCCGAGTTGATGCCCCAATGTGTATTCTCAATGCTGGAATAAATGTTTTCGGTTAATATTATGCGTTATTTCAAAGTCAAATATGTAAAAAAAAAATAAGGAAACATACGTTCACCAGTTGATTCCATTCTGGATGCTGTGTTTACCGTGTCACCAAAGAGACAGTAACGTGGCATCTTGAGTCCAACCACACCTGCAACCACCGATCCTGTGAAAAGAGAAGTAGCATTATTATACATCTCATACCGAAAACAATATATTTACCAATCCGTAAAACGTTGTATGGACGTGTTCTAATGAATTATATTATTTGGAAACTGTGTATTATGTTTACGTCACATTCTAACACTTTCACTCACAGAAGCTACGTGACACCAGCGCGTCGGTCGACACGATCACCGTACTGCCTTCGTATATCCGTTGCGGTATTCTCGTATTAACCTCGTAATTGGTAGTATAGCCAATACAGATTTACACTGACCTGTATGTACACCGATACGCAGTTGTAGTTTCTCATCTGGTTTATGTGCAATTGTGAAAGTACGCACACTGTCAAGCAAAGCGATTGCCATTCTAGCAATTTCACATGCATGTTGATTGTCGTTCCTGACTGGGAGACCAGATACGACCATGTATGCATCACCAATAGTTTCAATCTAAAACCAATCAATTATACAGATAAGTGGTGTGTGCAACTAATCCGACGGCTCCTGTTTCCATAGACAGTGGATTGTTTGAATACTATATTCATACTTTGCTCACCAAGTTGTCGGTAATGACGTAAACACACAAAACATTTGTTTCCGGTAATCAGTACACAGTATTAATTTAGAAGGCATGGAGTATCAGTGAGAAGGCAGCTTCTTAGCAGTGATGTGTACATTGAATAATTAGATTGAGAATAAATTAAGGGACATTTGTTTAGAAGGTGATGAACATGCCTCCTTTTTTGTAATGTGATAACAAATGCTATTGTCATAATACATTGTCGAACAACTGAATAAAACGATTGACATTACAACATCTGTATATTTTACCTTGTACACATCAAAGTTGTCGATGATGGCATCAAAACAAGTGTAAAGGTCATTCAATAATTTAACAATTTGCAGTGGGGTGCTTTCCGCGGATAACGATGTGAAACCAACAATATCACTGAAGAAAATAGTCACACTGTCAAATGATTCAGCGTCGACTGTTTTTCCATGCTTTAGTTGTTCTGCTACAGTCCTGTATGAGTAATTATTGAATACATGTCACTGTGTGTTATTTATTGATCATTTTTAAGCTGACTTAAAGTTTGGAGATTAGTGACGTATATCTAAGTTCCAACTACGCTCTCTCTTTGTAACTCGATTCTTTCTTTCAATACACTACAATATACATTCACTGAAACTGATGAATATAAATATTTACTTTGGTAAGAGTTGATGAAGCAATTGTTCTGATTTCTTTTGTTCTTCTACCAATTGCGCTGTTCTTTGTGCAACAATACCTTCCAAGTTGTTTGCATACTGTTCCATGCGATCGAGTAAGTTGTCTAGAATATTGTCACTATTCCTGCATGACAAAATAGTAGTGTATTAATGAAAAGTTGCCACAGTGGCGGATCCAGAGGGGGAGCAAGGGGGCCATGGCCCCCTCCAAACGCATGAAAATGCATCTGGATTACGCATAGCATCGTCCGAATCGCACGGTTCCGTGTATTCGACCTATAGTCCTGGATCCCCCCTCCCAATACATTTTGCTGGATCCGCCCCTGAGTTGCCATGGTAGTAAATAATTTATAAATATTTCAACCAACTTGTATTCATATTGTGTTCTTGTAAATTTCTCTTACCCTCGATCTCTATTCATTTTCTTTACAATAGATTTAAGTTTGTGAAAATCTGGACGACTTGTAGGATCTTCACTCCAGCATTGTTCCATAAGTTGTATAATGTTAGCTGGTGATTCTGCTGCACTAATATATGGTCGAAAAGGAGGAGATTCTCCATCGGAAACTCGTCTGACAATGTCTTTGTAATTTAATACAAAAATATTAGTTATTATATTGATATCATTGTTTGTACTTATAGATTAGAACGTGTTTGAATATATGTCCATGGTTGAATTCATATGAATTGCAAACCAATATGGTTATATTCATTTATTTATATGTATTGTATCGATTATTTGGAGCAACACTGAACGTAGTGTGAACACTCGAACAATCTATCACTTTGTAGACGTAAAATACCTTCAACAGAGGCGTGTTATCGTGATGAAGCGTTTATCGTTTAGTTCGTGGACCACGTGTGACCAACACCCTGTTCGACACAGTTCTAAAACAGAACAGCACGTATGTACCACATGTGACCGAGCCTTGTAAATTCAATAGCGTGAAGCCTAGACTGTCTAAATATAGAACAAATGCAAAAATATATTTATAGGACAGCGAGTGCCCACAAACCTGCATCTACACCGTAATCGTAGTTGTTTCACGTTCATTGGAAGAACAACTCGCTATAAGCAGCTGTGTTCGTCCTGATTACGCATCTTTCCACAGCATTTTTACATTTTTGTGTAGGGTACATATACTGTAAATATGGTGCTACGTCAAGCGGTCGTGGTGAATTATTTCTGCTTATCAAGTTTATAAATAACTTCAATCAAGCTATACTTGATCTTATTTTCACCTCAATTTACCCCAAACCTATCGATTGTCATTGTAATTTTCATATGCAAAGTATTTCCCCAATTATTCCATGAATAACGATTTACAACAATAATACATAATTTCAGAAGGAGGTTAGTTATACTCAGGACGAAAGGTGTCACTTTAATAACAGAATTGTATTAATTCTAGAATGAATATAGTACAACTGATTGTATCATACTAGCGCTTATACCTATATCACACATTTAACATCATACACCACGTCCCAGCAAAGACCGATTACGGCTTGGTGTAGCAATTTAAGAACACCTTTGGCCAATACTGGTGGTGGTCCTGAGGTTCATGGCTTCTTCCCCCGGGTCGTCGGAATACTGGTGGTGGATCTGAGGTTCATGGCTTCTTACCCGTGGTCGTCCAATACTTATAGTGGACATGAGGTTCATGGCTTCTTTCCCGTGGTCGTCCCAATACTGGTGGTCGTCCCAAAACTGGTGGTGGTCCTGAGGTTCATGGCTTCTTCCCCGTGGTCGTCCCAATACTGGTGGTGGTCCTGAGGTTCATGGCTTCTTCCCCGTGGTCGTCCCAATACTGGTGGTGGTCCTGAGGCTATGGCTTCTTCCCCGTGGTCGTCCCAATACTTATGGTGGTCCTGAGGTTCATGGCCTCTTCCCCGTGGTCGTCCCATTACTGGTGGTGGTCCTGAGGTTCATGGCTTCTTCCCCGTGGTCGTCCTAATACTGGTGGTGGTCCTGAGGTTCATGGCTTCTTCCCCGTGGTCGTCCCAATACTGGTGGTGGTCCTGAGGTTCATGGCTTCTTCCCCGTGGTCGTCCCAATACTGGTGGTGGTCCTGAGGTTCATGGCTTTTTCCCCGTGGTCGTCCCAATACTTATGGTGGTCCTGAGGTTCATGGCCTCTTCCCCGTGGTCGTCCCATTACTGGTGGTGGTCCTGAGTTCATGGCTTCTTCCCTGTGGTCGTCCTAATACTGCTGGTGGTCCTGAGGTTCATGGCTTCTTCCCCGTGGTCGTCCCAATACTGGTGGTGGTCCTGAGTTCATGGCTTCTTCCCCGTGGTCGTC